CTTCCAACATTGAGGCACTAATGTCGGCAGATTCTAACAGCCAAATCACCATTGTCGGAGATTTCAATGTCCCCAACAAGGAATGTTTGAAGCACTCTTCAAACACTACCATCATGGGACGGAAAGCCGAAACTTTTGCTGTAGTCAACAACATAAGTCAGCTAGTTGGCATTCCCACACGCATCCCTGATCGTATTGGTGACCGGGCCAACACCCTTGACCTCATTCTCACATCCATTCCCTCTTCTTTCTCCAACATCACTTCCCTTTCCCCATTAGGCTCATCGGACTATTGTCTCATCTCTTTTCTCACTTCATTTCACCATGAAACTCCAGACGCACCTTCTGGTGTTACTAGTCAGCCAACTGTGACGGTTTTCGTGATTTTCTGGCTTGTTATCCCTGGAAGGATTGTTTTTTAATTACATACCTACGTGTGATGAACAGCAGACGGGGTAAACCCCACAGTCATGAGGACCTGCTGTTCAGTGGTTGAAATCGGCAACCTAAGCCCCGGGACTTGGAGTGGCGAACCACATAGGGCCCCGATAGGTTAAGCGTGTTATTGAACCGGACGACAGCAGAGCTGCCTACCACTAAAGTCGGTTGGCGGTGGTGGGGCTCGAACTTCAGACCACAACGTCCAAAGCACGCCGGTGACAGCGACTAAACCACTGCGCCACTACCACCGGATTTTTCCAAGTCTGTTTTAAACTTCACGGAGATTGTTCTTCAAAGCATGTATCTTTATAATCCACACTTCTCCAAACCCGGCAAATCACGATTGCAACCGTGCTGTACGTTTTAAAACCTCAGAATTCCGTCGTTGGGACCACTCACCCAATCTAGCATCTCACAACCGCTTCGTGCAAGCCAGAAACAAATGCTCGGTCACTATTCAGAGAGCTAAAGAACGCTTTATTTGTCACAAGGCTGCGCGCTTGGCTTCTTCTGCCACCGGTAACCGAACATTCTGGTCCTTCACTAAAGCGATTTCACACAATTTCTGTCCTTCCAACTATCCTCTCGATTGCAATTCCTCTGGTACTCTTGTTTGACATTACGAAAAAGTAGGTCTTCGCTTCCCGATTTGCCTCCAACTGCACCTTATCTGCTGCCTCTACTGTTTAACCCTTCTCCTACACATCGAGTCATTCCGTTCTACCTATCATAACAACCAGAAAGGTCCGCCAACTCTTCGCGGTTTGGATGTTTGTAAACCACCCGGTCCAGACGGTATTCGACCTGTCGTCCTAAGAACGTGTGCCTCGGAGGTGGCCCCTGTTCTACGCCGCCTTTTCTGTTATTCACTAGAACTTAAATCTTTCCCTATTCCATGGAAAAATTCCATTATTTTTCCAATCCCAAAGCGCGGCGACCCTTTCAACCCCAACAACAACCGTCCCATTACTCTTACATCTGTAATCTCGAAAGTGTTGGAAACCAGTATTTCCAACCAACTGCATACGTTTCTCGATTGCGACGGTTTGTTAAATGACCGTCAGTATGGATTTCGCCTTCGTCGATCTACGGGTGATTTACTGGCTCTCACATCACATTTCTGGTCGGCTGCACTCAACAACCACGGAGAAACTCACATGGTCTC